TCAGCAGCATTATAAAATATTTTAGTATTTTGTGACTGTTTCCTACTCCTTCTAAATTTCTTTATTTAGCAAATGTTTTGAGTTTCCAGTATGCCATGCACTGTACTAGGTGCTAGCAATACAAACCTTAATCCAAAAAAATATAGTAGTTAAAAATGTAAAGAAGAAAACAGTATTTTCTATTATTTATCTTAGTAGAAAAATATCAGATTGTTCCTCTCGCATTTACAGGAAGAGGAAACAAGTTATAATGCTGCAAAGTTATTATGTATCTTAATATTAAAATACATGGAACTACTTTAGTAACTCCAATTTACATTTTATGTGTAACTCAAGATCATTCTGACAATTCAGAGTTATATTCAAACGTTTGGTTTTCTTGCTTTACTAATGTTAGTCTTTTGGGAAAAAATAGGAAATCGCTGCACGAGTAAATCAATCAGCTTTGGAAGCTGTTACTCCTTCCCCATCTTTCCAGCAGAGGCATGAGAGCCTGCGGCCAGCGGGGTGAGTTACCACATTATGGGTTATTTAAAGAACTATATGGGCTATTGAAGTGTTAGTGAACACTTTGATTTTAGCAGTGCTGCTTATATTAGTATGAAATAGCTCCCCAAAAAACATAGAAATTATATTTTCAAATGGGTAAATTTACCAGCAAGAGTACTAAATAAATAATTCCAAACTTCTCTAGTGTTTATCTCTAGATTGAGGTGATATATGTTTTTGAATTTAATAGCTGGAAAAAAAAAAGTCTGTTAAATAAGTAGCTGTAACTGGGGATTGTGTTCATTGAAATTTGTTCTACTCTTCTCATTGACTTACGGAATTGTGTTTTCTCACAGTTTAAGTGTTTGATTTCTAAAAGAGAAAACTGAATGCAATGACTTCTTGTTTTCTTCTATGCTTAGACAATCTCGACCACCGACAGCTCGAACCAGCAGTTCAGGATCCTTGGGATCTGAGTCCACAAACTTGGCTGCTCTCTCGCTAGATTCTCTCGTTGCCCCAGATACCCCCATACAGTTTGACATCATTTCTCCCGTGTGTGAAGATCAGCCTGGCCAGGCGAAAGGCTCTGGCCAGGGAGGCAGGTGGGTGATGGCATCACAGGGATGTTGTGCTATGATCTGTAAGGTTTATGATTCCATTTCTGTGTTGGAGAGTCATCTCTTACATAATTTTGATAGTTGGGAAAGAATCATCTGAAGTTTTTCTCTTTGTTTTCTGTCTCAGTTAAATGAGTTGAGATAATTTAGTTTTAAAAATATTTAATTCTGTATTGCTTATCAGATCTACTCCTTAGGTGTTTGCTCTTAAAATTGAAGAAGAAAGCTGACAGTTCTATCTTTAGGTCATGACACTATTGTAAAATTTCTTGAGTGTAATACAAGTGCTATACTAAAGAGGGCGGTAGCTTCCATCTCTAATTAGCTTTTCTTGCATTCTGTTACACATGCCTTGAGAAATACAGGTTTAAAACTAGAAAATGTTGAAATTATAGTTAGCCTGCGACATATACTTAGAGAGCCTACAAAGAGGTTTTTACCATCCCAGGAAATGGCTGGCAGTTTTTTTGAGTAGCTAAAATTGAAGCTATATCAACTATTCTCTTTCCTAGTTTATTTAAATTCAAGAATTTTTACAACATGGTTTATTGTGGTGTTGATTTTTGTGTATGTGTGGCTGAACTTCCAGTTCATCTACATTTTCTAAAATGCAGCAACTTGGAGTTCAGCCTATTAACTCAGTGTGAGGGCAGGGACCTTCATCAGAGTAAGTTGGTCATCAGTAGTGCTCCTTAACAGGATGGGGTATTTTAGAGTTTTTAAAAAAATGTATATACAAGGTTTTGTGACTCTTACTTTTTAACTCTGATTTCAGTGGTTGAGAAACCTTCCATGTGGCTCATTGTAACTGACCATTGGTTCATAATTTTTTAAAAACTTTTCAGGCGTACAAATCCATTTGGAGAATCTGGAGGAGGCACAAAATCTGAAACTGAAGGTAAAACAGACATGTAATATTTTTATATTTTAAAAATTCTCAGCAGTAAACTATGTGAAGAATTTGTTGTTTACATTTATTCTGCTGTATGCTGTTTTCATGGTATCTTTACTTCACAATTTTCTCTTATAGTACACGTAAAGCAACTGAACTTAATTGGACATGAGATTTTGTGATTTACACAAAATTACAGAATATCAAACTTTTGACTTCATAGTCAAAGTCTAAATGCATAAGATAGCCTTTAAGTTTTTCCTAACAGCAGATGTTTTCTTCTGGTACTAGATCTTAACTTTTTTTTTTTTTTCCAGTAGCTATTTATTTTTATTATAATTTCAAACTTACAGAAAAGCTGTAAGAATAGACAAGGACTTTTTACTCAGAGCCACCAATTGTTAAAGCATAACCTTTGCTATTTGAGTTTGAGACCTTAATTTCCTCTAACTTGAACACTGTAGGTAAGAGCTATTCCTAAATACTTCTGCTAGGTTTAATTTTTCACTGGAAAATCTAAAAGAAGGCTGTGTATTTTATTCTTTAGAAAAAGAAATGTGGGATTTAAAACGACATAATGTACCTTGTTCTGTCATAGATTCTATTCTTCATCAGTTATTTATTGTCCGATTCCTTGGTTCTATGGAGGTAAAGTCAGATGACAATCCAGATGTTGTTTATGAAACAATGCGCCAAATCCTAGCTGCCCGGGCCATCCATAACATCTTTCGTATGACAGAATCACATTTATTGGTCACTTGTGATTGTTTAAAGTAAGTAGTAACCTCTCCCTTAAAACACTGTACGAAAAAATATTTTCATAATTTCAGCCTAATTAAAATTTGTACAAATTTTAAATTATTATTATAGGTTAATTGATCCACAGACACAAGTTACAAGGCTCACGGTGAGTTCTGCATGTTTAAAGCTTTAAGCCTCTTTGTGCATATACACATCTTACATCTTCATTAATAATCCTGATTCTATATATTCAGTTATGGTAGTATCAATTATAATAGACCTTTAGGGTGTTAAAATTAAGTCTATGGCCATCTCTCCAAAAAAGTTGAAATTGAACATTCCATGTAACTTAAAGAATCAATGAAACCTGGTGTGATACTTAGTGTTTATCCCTTAGCTAGGGAGCGTATATCATACACTAAAGAAACCAACAGCAGGAATTAAAAGCCAAACATGATTGAGTTTATTTTATAATGAGCTATTTTGAAATAGTTGCAAGTATGTACTTCTATTTAATCATTTAATAATATAGACCACTTTTGTTAACTGAATTTGACTGTAAAATGTATTAACGACTAATGAAACAAATTCAGTGTTCAACAACCTCTTATTCTGCCTGGCAATCCAAACCAAATATGACATTTTTTGTTCTTGGATTACCATTCTGTTAAGAAAAAAAATTGGCTGAAATGTTCTCTTTATGATATTTTTGTAACTTAGCACGAGTATGTCATTTATAATGTGCTGTTGTAATGGCTGGAAAAATCTCATGTTTGCTTCTGATGTTTTCTTTGGCAGTTTCCATTACCCAGTGTAGTTTTGTATGCTACACACCTGGAAAATAAGAGGCTTTTTGGATTTGTTCTTCGAACATCTGGAGGGAGAAGTGAAAGTAATCTGTCATCTGTCTGCTATATATTTGAATCAAACAATGAGGGGGAAAAGGTACCTGGCTTTTCAAAATGTGTTTCTGTTGTGAAATACATATTATAGTCAGAGTATTTACTAAGATTTCTGGAAAAAACTTACAAACTTTGCCTAGCACCATTTGAGTTGCTTGACCAAAGCCTGCTGTTGCTCTGAGGACAGCTGAGTGATGGGTTGAGCCTTCTGAGTTCTTTAGACCTATATCTTCTTNTTACACTTTGAGTAGGAAAGGTATTAAACCAGATGAGCTCAGCAGTGTAGACATAGCCATAGGTGCAGTCCAAGCGTACAGGCCAAACTCAGGGGTGCAGAGAACCCTGGAAGGAATCCAGTGGGTCCATACTGCACTGTAGTTGGGAAGACTTGGCTTGTCTGACCCCTGCCAGTCTCAGTGGGCCCAACTATGCTATGACCCTAGGTGCCTCTCAGGGCTGGGCGGGAGCTGATGCTTGCAGTTGAGGCAGAGCAGGGCTAATTTAATTTCTTTAGGAAGTTCTCACCTTTCTAAATCTTAAACTGTTGGTATAATGGTTACTTAGATAGGAGGGTATGGGAACATGTAGGAGTCCATTGTCATAGTTTAGGCATGAACAGGGTGGTAACTGAGGAAAGAGAGAAGAAATAATGAATCATAGAAACAGGTAAAAAGAAATTGGACTAGTTAGTAACTGGACTGATGTAAAGGATGAAGTTAAAGATGACTTCCAGGTTTTAAGCCCAAGTGAAGAGAACAATTTTGGGGGGAAAATTGTTCTGTTTTTATCATAATGGCTTTGAGGTGCCCCTCTAGATACCTAGGAAAAAGTTTTGAACCAAATAAACAAAATCTCAAGCCTCCAATATATTAGTAATTTCTGTTAGTTTTATCATTTTATGAGTTTAAGAAATCATTGCTAACTGTAGAGAAGCCTTTTGCTTTTCGTAACTTGATCTCCTGCCAATCTATCTTTTCCTTTCTGTTATGTTACTTGAGCAACAAAAAAATTAAATTTGTGACATGCTAATACCCAGGGAATAAATACATAGAAAATATAATGTTTGGATTTGAAAAATTCAGGCTTATTGTACTTTCCTATCAATTATCAGAACTCTTAAGTTTTATTTTATTTTTTTCTCAAAACTCTAAGTTTTAATTAATAATTTCCAGATTATCCAGAATTATTTTATCTATATTAATGAGGAGAAATTTTGATAAGTTTATGGCATTGTCTTAGTAATTTAGCTAACTGTAAGACACAGAAATGTAAAAATATTTTGATTATTTTTTCTAATATAAATACCATTTTATTTAGCTAGTGTTTTAAATAAAAGAATAAGTTTACAAGTAATGTCTTATGGAAAGCTTTCTTTCAAATTTTGGTCTGAAATTATCCCTGATAACTTTATTAATAAATATATAGATATTTCTAAGCATAAATAGATTCTGGAAAATTATGAAAACTTCAGCAGCATTATAAAATATTTTAGTATTTTGTGACTGTTTCCTACTCCTTCTAAATTTCTTTATTTAGCAAATGTTTTGAGTTTCCAGTATGCCATGCACTGTACTAGGTGCTAGCAATACAAACCTTAATCCAAAAAAATATAGTAGTTAAAAATGTAAAGAAGAAAACAGTATTTTCTATTATTTATCTTAGTAGAAAAATATCAGATTGTTCCTCTCGCATTTACAGGAAGAGGAAACAAGTTATAATGCTGCAAAGTTATTATGTATCTTAATATTAAAATACATGGAACTACTTTAGTAACTCCAATTTACATTTTATGTGTAACTCAAGATCATTCTGACAATTCAGAGTTATATTCAAACGTTTGGTTTTCTTGCTTTACTAATGTTAGTCTTTTGGGAAAAAATAGGAAATCGCTGCACGAGTAAATCAATCAGCTTTGGAAGCTGTTACTCCTTCCCCATCTTTCCAGCAGAGGCATGAGAGCCTGCGGCCAGCGGGGTGAGTTACCACATTATGGGTTATTTAAAGAACTATATGGGCTATTGAAGTGTTAGTGAACACTTTGATTTTAGCAGTGCTGCTTATATTAGTATGAAATAGCTCCCCAAAAAACATAGAAATTATATTTTCAAATGGGTAAATTTACCAGCAAGAGTACTAAATAAATAATTCCAAACTTCTCTAGTGTTTATCTCTAGATTGAGGCGATATATGTTTTTGAATTTAATAGCTGGAAAAAAAAAAGTCTGTTAAATAAGTAGCTGTAACTGGGGATTGTGTTCATTGAAATTTGTTCTACTCTTCTCATTGACTTACGGAATTGTGTTTTCTCACAGTTTAAGTGTTTGATTTCTAAAAGAGAAAACTGAATGCAATGACTTCTTGTTTTCTTCTATGCTTAGACAATCTCGACCACCGACAGCTCGAACCAGCAGTTCAGGATCCTTGGGATCTGAGTCCACAAACTTGGCTGCTCTCTCGCTAGATTCTCTCGTTGCCCCAGATACCCCCATACAGTTTGACATCATTTCTCCCGTGTGTGAAGATCAGCCTGGCCAGGCGAAAGGCTCTGGCCAGGGAGGCAGGTGGGTGATGGCATCACAGGGATGTTGTGCTATGATCTGTAAGGTTTATGATTCCATTTCTGTGTTGGAGAGTCATCTCTTACATAATTTTGATAGTTGGGAAAGAATCATCTGAAGTTTTTCTCTTTGTTTTCTGTCTCAGTTAAATGAGTTGAGATAATTTAGTTTTAAAAATATTTAATTCTGTATTGCTTATCAGATCTACTCCTTAGGTGTTTGCTCTTAAAATTGAAGAAGAAAGCTGACAGTTCTATCTTTAGGTCATGACACTATTGTAAAATTTCTTGAGTGTAATACAAGTGCTATACTAAAGAGGGCGGTAGCTTCCATCTCTAATTAGCTTTTCTTGCATTCTGTTACACATGCCTTGAGAAATACAGGTTTAAAACTAGAAAATGTTGAAATTATAGTTAGCCTGCGACATATACTTAGAGAGCCTACAAAGAGGTTTTTACCATCCCAGGAAATGGCTGGCAGTTTTTTTGAGTAGCTAAAATTGAAGCTATATCAACTATTCTCTTTCCTAGTTTATTTAAATTCAAGAATTTTTACAACATGGTTTATTGTGGTGTTGATTTTTGTGTATGTGTGGCTGAACTTCCAGTTCATCTACATTTTCTAAAATGCAGCAACTTGGAGTTCAGCCTATTAACTCAGTGTGAGGGCAGGGACCTTCATCAGAGTAAGTTGGTCA